GAAACGTCCATCTATAAATATTTTCATAATTTGAGGATTTTTGATAGCTTTCACCCAATCGATTTTCGTTCATAATTTTAGTGATTATTAATTTCATTTCTCGCCATGGCAGGTGTTGCTTTCGGGACACTCTGGGGCCGTCTGCTGCTATACTCTCACTAGCATAAAAAAAGAAAGGGCAGCAAAAAAATTTGCACGTACATCAACATCACCAACATTTATTTCGCATAGCTTTTACAACATTCGCACTCTATTAACACATCGGTGAAAATGGGAAAAAAATATATGCTAACCGTAGTCACGACCCGAGGGGCCAGAACCAACAGTTAAGCCTGCCCTTGCCATCCACTAACCCATAATCGGAGCCGAAAGGTACCAAAGTGTTTGTAGGAAGCGTGCACCAACTTGAAGTCCTTTTGTTTGCTAACTAGGGAAGGTCGTCAGGTCGAAGTGGCCATTTGTAATGAGATGTAGCTCACTAGACGTGGTTTTGGACGCTGATCTCGAATCTGCCTTCGAAATTTGCAAGCGATTCTCTGAACGGAGTTATGGAGCCGCGTTTACCACGCAACAGGTCGTGGGATCGGATCCCTGCTGAGCTTAACTTTTTTGCTTCTTGTGCAAACGTGGCAAAAAGTGGTTGCGTCACTACTACATTAGCGCTCTCCTTGACTTGCCTGAAAAACAGTTTGCGTTCGCTTACTGGCGCGCTTAGTGCCTTATGATCTAGGAGAATTTTTGGATGTACAGGTGCCCTTGGCGCGGAGTGCAGGCGTTTTCGCGCTGAGCGAGTGCCATATTCGTGTTTATCGGGGCGAACTACGCCTAGGTAGAGGTTTCTAGCCAAATCTGGCATTTTGACCTGACTTCGAAAAGTGAAGCATCCATGGGTTAGTTCAGTTGATGTTCACACCTATTCAGCTGCAGATACATTCTCCTGCACAAACCCTCGTCTTGCCACTTCTTACGCATTCATTTTGTTACTGCTCCAGTTTTCCTGGTATCTGAAAGCAAATTCCGTCCAAAGACAAGCAATCGACAAGAGATTGGCCCTGGAACTATTGGTGACCATCATTCGATCAGCTGCTACC